GAAGGAGAAAGAGGAAGGAAAGGGAGGGAGGGAAGGAAGGGAAAGGGGAAGGAGGGAGGAAAGAAGGAAGGGAAAAGGGAGAGAGGGATGAAGGAGAAAGAGGAAGGAAAGGGAGGGAGGGAAGATGGAGAAAGAGGAAGAAAAAGAGGAGGGAGGGAGGGAGGAAGGAAGGAAGGAAGGAAGGAAGGACAGGTGGATATTGGAAAATTGATGAAAGAATTTGGCAAATGAATTCCTTTGGAGGTGACAGCAGAGTTTTTAGAGAAGGTGCTGAGGGCCGCACCAGATCTTGAGGAATCTTAACGAAATCCTTCCGTCTAGTGAGATCATCTTCTTCCCTCTGGCTTTGGTGTCAGTCGAATCAATGCCTCCTCCTCCTCCTCCTCCTCCTGCCAACCTCTTCTCGTGTCTTTCTTTCCCCAGCTCCCGCAATGCCTCCCCAGAATATCCACATCAGTGCCGTGTCTGCAAGCCAGCTGGAGATCACCTGGGACCCTCCTCCTGTGGACAGCCAGAACGGAAACATTCAAGGCTACAAGGCAAGTCGGGGGGGGGGGGGAAATGCCCTTCAGAGATTAGCCCCAGTGCATTTTGGGACAAAAACACAGGGTTGCCCACGCCCACTTTGTTTCCCCAAACTTCAACTATCTGATTATTTAACGGTGGCAATTTTATCCTTCCTTCAGGCCCTCCTCTCTTAGGGTCTGTCAATCTTAATAAATTAGAAATGCAACAGATTGCAAACCTACAGCAAACAACTAAAGAATTTGCAAAGATACAACAGTGCCAGCTGAGAATAGCTTTTTTCCAACCTGGGGGATGCTGTTCCCAAACTGCTGAGGGCCCATCAGCTGAGGATGATGGGAGTTGAAGTCTAACACAGTTGGACTCCCTCTTCTCTTAACCCGAAGACTTCCTCACTCGAGTGGATCCCATAAAAAATAAAGCCTCAATGGACGCTAAACCCTTAAAAAGCAGAAGGTTGAGAACATTAAACATGATGCTTTCATTAAATGGTTGTCCTCAGGAGACAGAGTTACTACTGCTCTACTTCTAGGTGGAAAACTGATGGAATTCAGTTCAACACACCCTAGCACCCAGATCCTAGAGCAGGGCTCTCCAAACTTGGCAACTTTTAAGACTTGTGGACTTCAACGGGCTGGAGAGTTCTGGGAGTTGAAGTCCAAAAGTCCTAGAAGTTGCCAGGTGTGGAGCTTCACCAAGAATTCTTCCATCTAGAAACCATTTGTCACAAGATAAGATTAGTCTCTGGGCAGAAAATCCTTGGCAGTCCCTCATCTATTATTATTCATTTCCAGGGACCTTTCAAAATTGCCAAGTGTCAAATGTGCAAACGCAATCCAATCTGCATGTTGCCAGAATAATTACTCAAAGCCAATTTCTCCTCCTCCTCTTCCTCTTCCTTAGGAAGTGTAGCGTTAGAAGACTAGGCCAAGACCGAGAAAAACACACCAGGTGATGGTCACCGGCTAGATGTCTGGTGCCTAACCCAGATCCAAAACCACCTCCAAGAATAAATTTAACCAAAAATTGGCTTCTAAAATTCTGACACGTTATTCTCCTGATCACTCTTGGAGCTTGGCCAACGTCCATTGCCTGGTGTAGCTTCTACCTGTGCCAGTCTCAGAAGCTGGCATTACTTCTTGGGCAGAAACAGCTACCAGCTATAAAAAAACCCTGTGTACCTTCTCTTCTGTTTGGCACAAATACTTCTGATCTCTGGGGCTTGTAAACACCAAAGCGGGTTCTTGACTGGACAGTGAAGTCAGGTCCCTGGTGAGCTTTGGGTGGACTTGGTAAACCATGACTCTCAGAAGTGGCTCTCCACTGCCAAACCAGGGGATCTGCTAGGGAATTATGGGAAAGTGGAACTGGGCTTTCTAAAAACCATTGGCGGCATGTTAATAACTTGGCTGAGTAAACCCAGCTGTAAGGACTGCCGGCTAGATCTAAGGCAGAGGTGTCAAACTCAATTTCATTGAGGGCTGCATCAGGGTTGTGTTTGACCTCAGAGAGCCAGGCCAGCATGATGTCACTTGTGTTGTGGGGAGGGGGCACCTGTGGTGTCCCGAGCACTCTGCCAGCGAAAACAGACTCCCGAGTTCCGTTTTCGGCTTTGACTGCCTCCTGTAACCTTCTGCCAGCAAAAACGGAGCTCAGGAGATCCACGTGTGGCTCTTGTGAGTTCCATTTTCACTGACAGAGGTATCGCAGGTCGGTCCTTCATGATTTCCAGGGTGGTCCCACAGGCCAGATCTAAGCACCCCATGGGTCAGATCCAGCCCCTGGGCCTTGAGTTTGACCCCTCCCCAATCTAAAGCATTTCTCAGGTGTGCTGCAGCTCCAACTCCCAGCATTCCCTGCCAGCGAGCCAACCGGTATTGAGCTGGTTGAGAATTGGAGTTAGAAATGATGTCATGGGAACTTGAAGGATAGGCTGTTGGGCTTATCTCTCTTTTCCTTCCCCCCACCCCAAACTAGGTTTATTATTGGGAGAAAGACGGCCAGAATGAGACTGAAAAGGTGAAGGTTCTCTTCCTACCTGATACAAGCATCCGGCTCAAAAACCTGACCAGTTTCTCCAAATACCTGGTGTGTATTTCTGCTTTTAACGCAGCAGGTGATGGACCCAAGACAAGCCCTATGGAAGGCAGGACACTCCAGGCAGGTAAGAACGAGATGGATCCTTCCACCGAGCAGATGCCATGTTTTGCACTTGTAACTCAATGTCTGCAGAGATTCTCAGTCCTCCAGGTCATGGTTGTTCCAAAGGTGTTTTTTCAGGACGCAACTGGACTTTCTTGCTTTTTTTCTTTTGAAGACGTTTCGCTTCTCATCCAAGGAGCTTCTTCAGCTCTGATAGGATGGTGGGGAATGGAAGGATTGATATTCCTGGCAGTTGGTCATTTGCATTCTTTTTAGAGGGTCGTTGAGGCCACTTGGAGGTTTATCTGTGTCCTCAGAGTCACCTGAGTAGAGTTCCTGGTTCCTGTAGTCTGCAATTTTTCTTCTCTGGAAATCCATGCCTACTCCCACACCATTCCAAGAATGTTCATCACAAATTGTATAGCCAAAAGTCTGTAGCCAAATTGTATAGCCAAAAGTCTCAGTCTTCCAGGTCATGGTTATCCCAAATCCTTTTTCTGGACTTCCTTGTTTTCTTTTGAAGACGTTGAGCTGAGAAGCGAAATGTCTTCAAAAGATTTTTATCTCGGTGGTTGGGCTCCTGCCCCATCTTACAGCATGGTGTGTTTGAGCCATGGCTCTCGTTAAGTAAGCAAGCCTTATCTGGGTTCACATTGCAGCCATAAACCATGGTTTACAAATCTGAGGAGCTTCCTAACCCCAAGTGATCAAATGTCCAGATGGTAAAACAGAAGATACTTTTTTTGTTGCAAGCCTTGGTACCAATCTTGAAGCGGATCCCACTTACCCCAAGTCTGCCTTGATCTCTTCCAGCTCCAGGAGTGCCCAGTTATTTGATCTTCTCCGAAATCACATGCTCGGCCCTTAACGTGTCTTGGGGAGAGCCAACAGCAGCCAACGGGATCCTGCAGGGTTATCGGGTGATCTATGAACCTTTGGCCCCAGTTCAAGGTAAGCAACCCCCAAGAAGGATTGGTTAAGTCTTGGGAGGTGGGCATGGAGATGTGGTTGGTCCTTTTACACTCCTGTTCATCTTTTCTTTTCTTTTGTTTTCTTTTGGCAAAGACTAATTTGAGTTGGAATACAAGACTTCAATTGAATATGTGGCCAAGTGTGATTAGACACGCAAGGAATTTGTCTTTGGGGACAGAAACTCTCAGTGTACAGGCAAAGCAGAGCCTCCATTTCCTGAGCTCCGAAGTACTTTTAAAGAAGAGTTGTTGTTTTTTTTCTCCTCTGTGCCTGGATTTTCCTTGTATTATGAACTCACTCCTCACAGCCTGTTTTAAAAATCAATTGCCCTAATATCCGACGATAACAAACTAACCCTAGAGCCATTCTTTACCCCTCTTTTAAATAACATTATCGTTGAGGTTTTTGTTCTCCGGATTTGGCTGAGAAATTGGACGATCCCCCCAGAGACAGTGAACGGCATCCAATGTATTTCACCCAGCCTTCTCCCCTCCGATTCCGGGATTTCAAATTGCAGCTGGAAGGAGAAATTGAACCAAAGTGCTTTGGAAAGTACTGAAGTTGATTGAACCGGTCCAGGCAAAATTAAGTTTTGTGGAGATGCCATCTATTGTTGGCTTCCCAATTACCTGCCGAGGCGGTCAGCGCTCCTGTGTTTTTCCACAAATACCAGCTGCCACGTTGCAGTCACAGTAGAAGGAAGGACGTTTAAAGGGAGGGAGGAAGAAAAGATTGATTTTTCTAATGAGTGTTGAGAAGGCCGCTACTTCGTTTTCAAACTCCGAAAAGAAAACTTTAGATGTTAGGTCTTAGATCAGGAGGGGGAACATCGCCGTATCCACTTTTTTTCTGTCAGAAACACATCCCCACCCAAACATATTATAGTTTGATCTCAGAAGGTGACTCTTAACCTTTGTTTCTTCCAATGAGCCTTTTATTTATCTATCTATTTATTTGTTAAATGTGGATGTTGCCCATATCACTAGTCACGATGTCTCTGGGTGCCTTACAATTGTATAAAAGCACAATCCTTTCGGCTGCTGTTTGTAATTTTTTTTTTTTATTTAAGAGACTTTTTACAGTTTTGATGTTTTGAACTATTTCCATCTTTTTGTAATGTCAGAATTGTACGCTGCCCAGAGTTACCTGATTGAGTTGGACAGCTTATACCGAGTTTTGCAGCGTGAATTCAGCTCCAGAAAAATAAACACAGATGGCTGAGGTTTCATTTAACATCTTTATAAACATAATAAGTAGATTTTACAAACCAGTTGTAGATTTCTCCAACGTGGAGCAAACTCAAACAGAAACATGTTGCAAGTTCAGAGCAGAGCTCCAGTCTTCAGCAAGCAAGCAAGTTAGTTTCATCTTCAATAGACAGACTCAGAGCTTAACACATAGCTGCAGAGTTGCAGAGCTTAACATAGAACCACTCCTAGACTACTTTTAGTTTCAGTTTCCAGCCTAGGCTAATTCTAGTTTCAGTTTCCAAAACAGTCCTCATTGGCTGACCTTGTTACTATGCTCTGTTCTAGTTCATGAATATATTCTGACACAGCTATAGAAATTGAACGAATGAATGAATGAATGAACGAACATAAAAGCTTTAAAAACATTAAAATTAACAACACATAAAGGTTAGAAACCAAGGGCCCAACATGGTAATATTAGACCTTTTTCTATATAAATGTGTTCAATCAAATAGCATCACTCACTCTAAATCAAGGGTGTTCAACCTTGGCGATGTTAAGACCTGTGGATTTCAACTCCCAGAATTCCCCAGCCAGCACAGAATTCTGGGAGTTGGTCCCCAAGTCTTTAAGTCGCCACGGTTGGACACCCCTGCTCCAAACTGATTTGAAAGAGACTTTCCGCACAACAACGCATATCTGCTCACTTGTGTCTCATCCGTTGCCTCTTTCTCCCCTGCCTTTTAGAAGGAACTAACCCACAAGCGGTAGACATGGGAAATGCTAAAGGATGTGTAGTTACTTTTCTCTCCCTCCAAGACGCTGAGACGTTGGTCAATAGAGGCTGTGGTTTAACGATTTTTCTCCCCAGGAGCGATTCGACAGAATGATGGGGGTTAAAGGACCCCTGTGAAGTCAGTTTGGGTTTCCAGAGAGAAGCTACAAGCCACAATTACTTCCGCTCACCTCTCCCTTTCATCCCTGGGTAATCAGGGACGGTAATCTCCAGCCTCTTGAAAACCGCCCAACGGAGCCCATAAGGCTCCCCCGCCTCTCGCCAGCCTCCACTTATCAAGCCTGGAGTCTAATTACACTTATCTCTGCCGAAAATTATCCATTATTGCCACTTAAATTCCCACTAATTGTAAGAAAAGCTTCTTTAGCAAATGGCTCGATCATCATTTCTTGGATAATCTGGCTGGCATCGTTTCTGCCGTTTTCACAACTCGCTTGTTTTCCTTCCTCCTGACCTTTTTGCGCCCTCCCCACCTCTCTCTTTCTTTTGAACACTCTTTTGATCTCTCTCTCTCTTCTTTTCTTTTCTTTTTTCTTTTCTTAGGGGTGAGCAAAGTGGTTACCGTGGACATCCAGGGCAATTGGCAGCGCTGGCTAAAAGTCAGAGATCTCACCAAAGGGATGACCTACCTGTTCCGTGTGCAAGCCAGGACTATTATCTATGGACCTGAACTGCAAGCCAACATCACTGCTGGGCCAGCGGAAGGTAAGGTTGATCTGAGGAGCAAGTTGAACATCCAAACAATAATTGATACAAAGAGGGGAGCAGATTCAGCACCCCGATTCCACCCACCCTTCCAAGCAAAGGGAGCATTAAGTTTCAAGGTGAACAGAGGTGCTGTTCAGCAGGTTCTGACCAGTTCTGGAGAACTGGTAGTGGAAATTTTGAGTAGTTCAGAGAACCAGCAAATCCCACCTCTGACTGGCCCCACCAATCCCATCTCTTCTCTGCCTCCCTCTGAGTCCCAGCTGATGGTCTGGGTCTTCTTTGGTTGCCCTGCACAGGAGAAGGGAGCTGGAAAGCAGGTTATGGGGGTGGGGAGAGAATGAGATTTTGCAATAACCTTCCCCTGCCACACCCACCAAGCCACGCCCTCCAAGCCTTGCCCACAGAACACGTAGTAATTTTTTTTTGAATCCTACCACTGGTTCATGTGAGTTCCTCCTGAAGCAACCAAGATGGAAACCAGGTTCCAGAGAACATCCTGCCTTCAGTATTTCTCTGGTCAGTCCAGTTGGAGCCATGCCCACAGAACTGGAAGTAAAAATAATGTGGATCCCACCATTGGACTTTATGTGAGGACCAGCCCAGAAACTGTAATTACAGATTCTGCAAATAGCGTATGGGGGAGGGAAGCGTTTTTTAAAAGCTCTCAGAAGTATACAGAGAAGAGCAACAGAGGTTTGGGCACTCAATTGTATGGTGGATGGTCGAGGGAGCTCCGCATATCTAGTCTTATCAAAGAGAAGCGCCAAAGGCAATATGATAGCAGTCTTCCAATACTTGAGTGGCTGCCACAGAGAAGAAGAGAATGACTTATTGTCCAAAGCACCAGAGGGCAGGACAGGAAACAACAGATGGAAGCTCGTCAAAGATAGATCCAACCTAGAACTAAGAAATTTCCTGACAGTGAGAACAATTAGTCAGTGGAACAACTTGCATCTGAAAGTTGTGGGGGCTCCATCTGTGGAGATCTTCAAGGAAGGATTGGACAACCTTTTGCGTAGGATGATATAAGGTCTCTTGTCTTGAGCAGAGAGGTGGGCTAGAAGATCTCTGTGTTCCATCCAAACCCAATGATTCTATGGCCTGTGTTTTGTTGCTTATTGATTTGTCCCCCTGCTTCAACCAGTTCTTCCTTTGTCCCGCTCCTACAGGGTCTCCTGGTTCCCCGCAGCATGTACTGGTCTCAAAATCCACTTCTGGACTCACTTTGTACTGGACGGAGGGAGTTTCGGGAACGAAACCCATCACTGGCTACGTCATAGAAAGTCGGCCTTCAGGTAGGTCGTATAATATTGCAGTCTCCGTGCAACAGAAGATCAAAACCGGATGACTGAGCAAACCTAGTTAGAACCGAAGAAGGAGAGAGAGAAACGAGGGTGGGATATTACCACAGGAAGACACCCCAAAGAAGCTGTGGAGCTCCCGTCCATAAGACCTATTGACTCAAATTGCTCAGAGCCCACAAAGGACGGATGATTCCTGCTGCAGACTGACACAAGCAGGGGTGGGCTTCAAAAATTGTAACCAAGTGTTCTCTGCCCTGTTGCTGGGTGGGCGTGGCCATGGTGGGCGTGGCCTAGTCGGCCTCCTGCACCACGGGGGGGGGGGGGGCGTTTTTGCCCTTCCTGGATTCCGGAGGCTTTCTTGAGCCTCTGGAAGGGCAATAATGGCCTCCCCGGACTCTGGAGGCTCCCAGGAACCCAGAAATAGGCCCATTTCTGGCCTTCCCGAACTTCCGGGAGGCCCGTTTTTCAACCTCCCTGAGCTTCCATGCAGGCCCTGCGCTTACCTGCATCCAAAACGGGACTCCTGAGAGGGGAGCGGATGGGTGGGCGTGGTCAGCCAGAGGTGGGATTTGGGGATTCTTCGAACTGCACAGGATCTTAGCTAGAGGCTCTTCTGAACCCCTGAGAACCCCCAGCAGCCTATCCCTAGACAAGCCATATTGTCCATTTACATTTCAGGATGACACCCCTATGTGATGAGTTCTCTTCTAGATCTTCTCCAGGGCCACTGTTGAGGGGCTCATTCTCCTGGTTCCCCATACTCTTGGCTGGGATGTTGATCAGTGGTGGGATTTTCCCAGATCGCACCTATTCGCTAGAACCGGTTGTTAACATTATAAGCAGTTCGGAGAACCGGTTGTTAGAAGAAATTACTGAGCTAATCCTGTAAGGAAGGCCAGAAGGAAACATTCTGGTGTTGCTTACAGAAACTGTAACCCTTATTACATTCTTGGCAGGACTAGACTTCCTGTCTCAGGAACTTCTCTGGACGTTTTTTTTCCCTCTCCTTTGCTGGTACTTTGCTCGTGTGGAGTGACCATTCAAAGTTACAATGGCACTGAAAAAAAGTGACTTAGGACCGTTTTTCACACTTACGACTGTTGCAGCATCCCCACAGTCACGAGAGGCCAGGCGAGGAGATGCGTGCCTCGATGTGAGTGATGTTGAGTTGGCCACGCCCAGCCAAGCCACATGACCACCAAGCCATGTCCACCCGGTCACATGACCACCAAGCCACGCCCACCACCTAAGCCACGCCCACAGAACCGGTTGTTAAAAAATGTGAACCCCACCGCCGATGTTGATGGTTCCCAGCCAAATCTTGATGGCCCTCAATCCCAACCTCGGTGGGTATTCTAGACTTCCAGAAGTGCTTTTCTGCTCTGCTGCCCCCTGAATTCTGCCCATTTCCCCCCCCCCCCCCAAAGCAAGGTCTGCCTTGCTTCTCTGACCCCAGGGCAAATCCTCCCCACCCGCCCCGCCATCATCAAAACATCCCCTTCACTGCCTCCTATTGACCTTCTGGACTTCCTTCATCGTTTCTCTCCCCGCCACCCCTTGACATTATCTCCCCTTCCCCAAATGGAGAAGGCTGCTGATTCTCCTTTTTCTTGCTGACCCCGGCTGTTTTTCCGCCTGAGCACTTATTATCCAGTACTCCATTATTTTTCTCTTAATTTCCAGCATGTAGCTTTGATAACAGTTTTCACAACCAAGTTAATGAAACATGCTTCACATTCAGGGATCACCCCTTTCCAGCCCCAGCCAGCCTGCCTGCCTCTTCCCTTCCTCTCCCGTCCACCAGTCACTGGAGCTTGCAACCCACTTTTCATCCATTTAAATTAATTAATGCTCTGAATAAAACAAGACTATCTAAGGGTGGCTCATCCATCATAACAAAATGAAGGGAGATTTAAGCTTCAAGGGTTTTTTTATTATTATTTTTTTCTCCCTCCCTCTCGTAGAAGGAGTTTGCTCTTTTCTTGGTCCAATTCATTTCCACGAAACTCGCCCGGGGAAAATGTTTCAAGACAGCTATTAATTAGAAAACTCAGGAACTTACATTGTGGGATCCTTCTGCATTTTCTCCCTGGGAACCAAGGCCCTTAACTATTCCACCAGTATAGGTTAGTAGTCCTCAACTTGCAACCATTCCTTTAATGATCAGGATGCGAACGGCCGGCTCTGTCTGCAAGGAATCTAAATCCTTCCATTCCCCACCATTCAAGTCAGAGCTGAAGAAGCTTCTTGGATGAGAAGCAAAGAATCTTCAAAGAAAGAAAAACACAAGAAACCACTTTATAAGGCCTTGGTAAGGCCACACATGGAATATTTGCATCCAGTTTTGGTCGCCACGATGTAAAAAAGATGTTGAGACTCTAGAATGAGTGCAGAGAAGAGCAACAAAGGTGATTAGGGGACTGGAGGCTAAAACATATGAAGAACGGTTACAGGAACTGGGTATGTCCAGTGTGATGAAAAGAAGGACTAGGGGTAAGATGATAGCCATGTTCCAGTATTTGAGGGGCTGCCCCAAAGAAGAGGGAGTCAAGCTATTCTCCAAAGCTCCTGAAGGCAGGACAAGAAGCAACGGATGGAAACTAATCAAGGAGAGAAACAATTTAGAACTAAGGAGAAATTACAACAATTCACCGGTGGAACAACTTGCCTCCAGAAGTTGTAAATGTTCCAACACTGGAAGTTTTTAAGGAGAGATTGGACAGCCATTTGTCTGAAATGGGATAGGGTCTCCTGCTAGAGCCGGGGTTGGACTAGAAGACCTCCAATGTCCCCTTCCAGCTCTGTTATTCTGTTCTATTCTAAGAAAGTCCAGTTGCCTCCCGAAAAAGCACCTTTGGGACAGTTACAACGGTGCTGAAAGAAATTACTTATGACCATTTTTCACAGTTATGACCGCTGCAGTATTCCCAGTTCGCATGATCGAAATTCAGGCCCTTGGCAACCGAGTCGTATTGATGATCATTGCAGTGATTCCTCTTTTGTGACCTTCTGCAAAATTTCAGTGTCCTCGGTGGCCCCAATCTCGACGTCTTAACCGGCAAGTGAAAAACACCCAACACTTTATCAAGGGTCTATGACAACTCGCCACGGCCTACTCGCCCTAAGAGAACTTGGCCGCAGCACAAGAGTTATACTAATGTCAAAGAAACGGGGGGATAGAATCACTAAAGAAGAAAGGATGCCAAAGGAGGGTAGGAATGAAACGTAGATGACAAAGATTAAAATGTGGGGTTTTTTAAAAATTGTTAAATTGTCCCCTGGCGTGTTGGTCATGGCGAATCGGCCACAGTGAGTTGTTCCATTCCACTTTATCAATATGTAAACATCCTGCTGTTACTTTAGGACAGCATTTCTCAAATTTGTCAGCTTTTAAGATGTGTGGACTTCAGCTCCCAGAATTCCCCAGCTAGCAGGGCTGGCTGGGGAATTCTGGGAGTTGGAGTTCACATATCCTACAGTTGCCAAGTTTGAGATACACTGCTTTAGGGCTATGCTTCTCAATTTCCTATCAATCATAGTCCCCATTACTCTAAACATTCAATGCCGCAGCTCCTCTCTTTCTTTTTCCCTTTCTTTTTCTTATTTGTAGCTAGGACTGTCATTCTCAGCTCAGGAACTCCAAAGCAGGCCTTCTCCACTCCCTCTCCCAATAATCTCTGCATTTCTCAGTTTCAAAGGAACCTCTCTTTTTTAATACCCTCAAGGTATAATTATTTGGATTTTTTTTTCCTCTAAAAGTATTAGCACCACGCTTCCTAGGGAGCAATAGATCTTAAAAGGCATAAAATAGGCGGATCTGTGGATTTTTAAAAACGGGACTTAAAACCTCCAGAGCTTGTCAACAGGGCATTCCATTCCCAATTACCAGAACTTTGCACGAGCAATCGGAAACTGGCAGCATGAGGGCCCCTCAGGGCAAATTCAATCTCTTGACGAACATCAAGTGTCTCCACCCAGGATGTTAAATTTGTTTGAGCAAATAGGACGTCCTGTTGATCACAAATTTCCAATAGTTCAGTTGCCCAATGAGAGCTACTTTAAGTAGAATTCAGAGGGACGCGGTAGTTCAGTGGCTAAGATGCAGATATGGTCAATCAGAAAGGTCAGCAGTTCGGCGATTTGAATCCCTAGCGCCACGTAAGAGAGCGAGCTCCCATTACTTGTCCCGGCTTCTGCCAACCTAGCAGTTTGAAAGCATGTAAAAATGCAAATAGAAAAATAGGAACCACTTTGGTGGGAAGGTAACAGTGTTCCATGCGCCTGCGGTGCTTAGTCATGTGGGCCACATCACCATGGAGACGTCTTCGGACAGCGCTGGCTCTTCGGCTTTGTAACGGAAATGGCCACCGCCCCCTAGAGCTGGAAACGACTAGCATGTAGTTGCGAGGGGAACCTTTACCTTAAGTAGAATTCATCCAGAGTCTGTCACTTGGTTAATGTCTCGGTGGCCACCATCCATTTGGGAGTTGGTGGTGGAGTTTAGCTCATGATTTTGTCCCCAGAGGTGGGTGGAAGCTTGTCAGAACGAGAGCCAACATGGAAATAAAGAGGGATTTTCCGTTTATGAGAAGGATTACTCAATGGAACAGCTGCCCTCCCATAATAGTGGGAGCTCCATCAATGGAGGTTTTCAAGAAAAGATTAGACAACCATTTGCCTGGGATGGAATAAGGACCCCTGCCTTAGGCAGGGAGTTGGACTAAAAGACCTTCAAGGCCCCTTCCAGCCCTTTGGCTTTATAATTCTCAGCCAACCAGATCTTGGATTCAGAAGATTTTGAAGATTTTCCTAGGGTTGGTGACTGTTCAGGGCCCTATCAAAGGAGATTTTTCCCCACCCAGCCCAGGACAACAGGTCCGTATGGATTCAGGCAGAGCAGGCAGAATATGTCCCTGTTTCCCACCTCTTCGTCCCCGTATAGCAGGAAGGATCTAGATTTCTTCCAAATGCGGAGTTTTCGGTAGAGTGTT